CCCCCCCAAACTTAACTCCCAACCAATGTGGGACTTTGGCATTTTGCCAAACTTCAACAGTCTACTGGTCTATAAGATAATCCTCTCCTTGAAGCAACGTCTAATATGTTCTTTAAAAATATTTTCGGCCTTTGCTGTTGAAAGAAAATTAAACAAACTAACATCTCAATTTCGAAGAGACCCATTGATGATTTGAAGCAACAAGCACTGAAGCGGATGCCTTTAGTTTTGTTGCGGCACAACCTGAATTGGAATTTCAAAAGAATATGAATTGTCTTGAGAATTAATATTAGATTAGGACTACGCTTAAAGCCCTTCGTTAGCTATGAGATTAGAGATCTAGTTGAATTAGAATATGTACATACAAATAACAAACCACATTATGTTTCCGGTGTTATTGTCCAAGTGGGGATCTTAAGGTAGGGATGCATATTACGAATAGGAGTGTTTTCTTACAAATGTGGTAATTACAATTTTATCCTGGCTAAGTTTAAAATTTTAAGGGTAAAAAGATCGGTCAATATCTTGGGGTATTTTTGTCGTTCAAAAGGTTTAATTCAAATATAGAAACCATGTTTTAACTTTGGAAAAAAACCTTTCACGTCCTGAAAAGGAAAGAAAGTATAATTTACATGTCAACTTATATGGAAAGTCATGACCAACTCCAACGAGGAATAGGAAGTTGTAAAAGAACTGACTGAAATATATATATATATTAGCTTGCGGTTCTTATGCTTAAACGAGCCTATAATTCCAGTAGCAGAAAATTAAGGTTCAATTCGTGCTCAAAATTATGGAGGAAATAGTTGATGGAGAGGACAGAATATCAGAGTTGCCAATACAAATAATTCATGACATCTTACGTCGGATTCGTCGTCATCAATATGGGCTAAAAGAAGAAGCTCGAATTTGCATCTTGTCTAAGACATGGAGTTCAATTTGGAGATCGCGGCCTGAAGTAATAATCGATCAATCCATCCACAAAAGTTTCAGGAATTCCACGGAGAAATTCGTTGATGATTCCTTGCGGTCCCATGTGGAGCAAAACTTAAGAATCGAAATGCTCCGCCTCATAAATCTTCGTCTTCCAGAATTGGCGTCTCATATTGATCGCTGGTTGAACTTGGCAATTAAACATAATGTCAGATCTCTAGAAATTTCTCTAGCATGTAATTTTAGCTACTCCATACCTGATGCTATTTATGGAGCTAAGACGCTGACTGAATTATCGCTAAACAAGTGCAACTTTGAAATTAATAATAGCAACAGTACTACCACTAATAAATTGCAAGGAATATTTAGTACATGCAGGGACCTAAAAATAGGGCGTTGCACAGGGATCCAGAATTTGCATGTTTTCGGCCTAGTAAATCTGGAGAAATTGGAGCTAAGTATGTGTAAGAAACTCGAAAAGGTGGAAATCTGGGCTCCAAATCTTCGACAATTTGTCTTTGTTGGCGCCCTTTGGACGAGCACTCGGGGACATTTGAACCACAACCGTTGCCTTGTAAAATTGATATTTTAGATGGTTATAACACTTAGGAATGTCTCCAGTTGGAAGCTACCACCTTGACGGACCAGCAGTTTGAATATCAGTTGTCTAAGTTTCCAGCCCTTGAAGTTTTAAAACTCAAGAGATGCAATGTAATGAAAAATATAAAAGTTGTAAGTGAAAAACTTAAGAGTTTCACCTTGTCGCATTGGGGTAATCTGGAGCAAGTCAACATGCTGGCTCCAAATCTGATGGAATTCAATTTCCAAAACTATAGAATGCCCTTCTCAATCTCAACGATGGATCCCTCTAACTTGGAACGAGCCGATCTCGATTTTTATGTGCACAAATCTGATGATCATTCTTACAACTTTGGCGATGTGGACACAAGTTGGTACAATAATCTTCTTGACTTTGTTCAAAAGTTCAACTATTCCTACGGCCTCATATTAATAATTTGTTCCCAAGAGGTAATATATATTTTGTTTTTTAGTTTCTCTTTCACCAATTTAACACACATATATATATATATTCCCTTCGTCTCATTCATATATAGTTATGCATGGGATTAGCCCAAATGGACTGTTTCTGCTGGGTTTAGGCGGGTCTAAATGGGCTGAACTAATAAATGAGTCATTGTTCAATCCTACCCAAAGTTATTTGGGTCAAGATGAGCTAAACAATGAGTCATAGCCCAATGTATACTTTGTTAAATATGCATTGCATTTGACCCACACAAAAAAATGCATTGAATTTTTATTTCCGATGTTAATCTGTATAATTTTTTCTTAATATAAAGAGATAAAAGAGAATAATGCCATAAAAGATACAAACTTTATTATATTGTATTTTTCAGAAAGCAAAAGTTAATTAAGTTAATGCTAATATCTAACTCCTATTTAGTCTAAAATCTTATAATTGTAATATATTAAGGTTCTATCCGGCTGCAATTTGAAAAATCTAGTGGCATATTTATTTATTTAATAGTCATTACAAACTTGTTAACCAGAAATTTATACAAAAAATATATATACTCTACATGGATGACAGAATACCATCTCTAAACATGATTAGAAGGAAGTGAAAAATTCCTTTAATCTATCTTGGGTAGTACCCAATTGAGTTCAAATTATAGGGACTGAAGTTTGGATAGCGATGGGTTGAGTTTGGGCTAGTCTATAGCCCCTCAAAATTTTAATAGCCCATGTTTTGTCCTACTTACAAAAAATAGCCTTTCGGCCCAAACGTATTGCATATAATAGCCGAAAGGAATAAGCATGACAACACAAGCGCTTGTAGCTTACTGGTTAGAGCGCCTATTTCCTAAGTTGAAGGTCATAGGTTTGACCCTCACCTGGCGCGATAGAGCAACCCTTTTTTTGCCTTTTTAAATGTACTTCTGGATCTAAGTATTAGCTAACAATTGAATGAAATATGCAATGCAGGTCATATACGAAATGTCTATTTTTGTATATTTTTTGTATAATAACAGTCTATTTTGTATATTTTTTTTATAATAACAGACTATTTTTGTATATTTTTTGCATAGTGACAGTCTATTTTGTATATTTTTTGTATAGTAACAATCTATTTGTATAGTGACAGTCTATTTTGTATATTTTTTGTATAGTAACAGTCTATTTTGTATAGTGACAGTCTATTTTGTATAGGGAGAGCTAATCGTATATAAATTGTATAGTGGTAGTCTATTTAGTATATTTTTATATAGTGATAGTCTATTTTGTATAATGACAGTCTATTTAGTATATTTTTTGTATAATGACATTCTATTATTGTATATATTTTGTATAGTGACACTTTATTTGTATATAAATTGTATAGTGACAGTCTATTTGTATATAAATTGTATAGTGACAGTCTATTTTGTATAATTTTTGTATAATACCAGTCTATTTTATAGATATTTCAACTTTTTTCATAGTCATCTCCTCTGTTCTTCCTCTCATTGAGAAACCAGCCACCGACGTCCATGGCCTCACGGTTGCTGAAAATGGTAACAAGATCGCCGGAGTTTTAAATTTTTAGCCAAACATCTTCAAAATATTATCTACATATTTACAGAAACTATAAGAGAAAATTAGAGAAAGATGACAAGGTTGTCTCTCTCGTTGCCACACACTGCTCCTCTCGCTTTCCTCCTCTTCCCTATATGTTGCTGCTACTGAAATATGTTGATGTACAAGAACCTATTCAACTCCAAAGACACCTTTTCTTTCTCCATTTTTACAATTGTTTTGCTTTTTTGTTTTTTTCTGAGCTGCTGGTAATAGATGCTTGCACACACCCCCTTTTCTTTTGTTTTGATGTTGATTTAACGGGTAAAAGTCCAGATCTTCTTAGATCTGGCCGATTCTAGGATTTTCCGGCGTTTTACTGTCGTTTTAACGGGTAAAAGTTCAGATCTTCTGAGATCTAGGATTTTCCAGCGAGGGAATTCGTTCAATGTAGTTTCCGGCTAGCTCTTGTCATTATTTTTAGGCTATGACTTGTATGAGTCAATTTGTAGGCTACCGGTTGATATTTGTTTTGCCCGATGGGCTATAAATGAAGATCTCTCTATGGGTTGAGATGGGTTATGCCCAAATCAACCCATCATGAAATATATTTCATGCCCAACCCATTAAATGTTGGGCGGGTCAAATGGATTTGGGTTGTTTTTGCCACCCCTACGTTGGATTCATATCTCTATCGAATTGTTTTCTCCCTTCAGTTTGCTCCATTGTGAATTGGACGAATTATCGTTCTAATTACTTGATTTATGCATTGCGCTACTTGTTTAACTTGGTATTTGGGCTTTGCACAATATGCAGGGTATTCTTATTTATGAAGATCCAAGTGAAATTCTTGTTCCACCAACTCGAAAACTAGAGCTATGCATAGAGAATTCTTCAATGCATCTTGAGTCATTCGTAAATGAAATGATGTTTTCTCGGCTCATGACAGTATCTATAGTGCATGGCATGGACAGCAAAATACTCCAGGTATAAACATACATTATATCCCAAAATGACAATGTTTAAGTAATTTTTTTATACAACTCGATATTCTCATACGTACCGCAGTCCCTAAGGCGCACATTTAAATATGTACAAACGAAAAACATTCTCATAATTATAAGGATTTGAACATATGCCATAGCACAAATTTTAGACGATCTTTCCCTCTAAATTAAGAGCTTCTTATATCAAGGGGATCGAACTAGGTAAAAATATTTATTATCTTGTTGGCATGCATGGTATAATTTTCTAAAGTAAAGAAATTCAAATTAAGCCTCTTCATTATTTTTTGATATGCTGCTGGTATATATCTAAGATTTTCACGTGGTATGGTATATATCTAAGTTATACAAACGGAAGTGGATTTTCTTTTTATACACACGGAAATATCTAGTTAGTAGTATTTGTTAGCATTAAAATGGCAGTATGGGCTAATTGACACTTATATGTTATTAACGTTTCTTTCCCATTTAATATTGCATAACAAGAGTTAAGACAATAAAAATTAATTATCGATATACCAAGGCTAATCCTCTGAAATGTGTTCTTACTACTTTTTTCCTTTTTGGTATGACTTGTCTTTTTTTTATCCAACAAAGGTACCATTTGTAGTAATTCATATTTGAGGGCAGGAATCATGCAGGTTACGTACTTATTCCTATTTCCTAAGCTCAGTTGGATCAAGTTCTCGACAACAACGGATGAAGAAAAGTCCAAATAGGACCACAATGGGTATAACAGGAGTTTTTGTACTCCAACTTAAAAGCCCTAATGAAGAAAATTCCTATTTGGGCCGCTAGTTATAACCTTACAGACTCCAAAGCGAAAATAAAATACTGGACACCAAACCTTGAGCGGCCTTAATGTCTCTTCCCATTGAGTTGCATGACTAGGACAACTACAAGAAGAAGAAACAAATCAACTTTCAATATACCATAAATGCTACATTTCTCTAGGAAAAATACTCTTCCTTTTTTTGGTAACACTCTTTTCCCCATCACTTAAGTCGTTGTTGATTAATAATTCAGATGGAGGTACAGCCATCTTGCAGGCTACATAGGTCATGAACTTTATTAAGGTGATTGAGACCACGACAAGAATACCTAGCTATTTTCAGCCAATCTTGCTTCTATTATTTGACACTTCAATTTCACTCTAATTTTTAGGAATAATATATCTTAACTCTAAACTGGATTATATTTATGCTTAATTTATATAAATTGATAATGTGAAAATTGTACTATCACTGTAAATTTACTCAGTGTAATGCAAGTCCTATTGTATTATTCAGGTAAGATTACTAATTCTAACTGTGGCAGTTGTATGTAGTGTTCTTTTAAGTAACTAGATAATATATTAAAACATTTTCTACACTTTAAGTGTATAAAGATTTAAACTCATGATTCATTATCAAGTATCACTTTTCTTAGGAAGAAATTTCCGCACTTATTGGGATTTCTTTTTTAAATTTAGGCGAAATTAAATTTGGTCATAACGTCTTGTAGGAATGTCCAAATAACAAACGGTTTGAAGCGTTAGAAACTAGATTCAAATATCTTTCATTTGATAGTTTGTCCATCACATAATTCCTTATATACATGAATATATGCTCGTCCAAAGTTTGGTTTTGTGAGTACTCATTTGGAACTTTACTCTATAATTTCCAACTTGGCTTAGAATTAGGGCTCTCCTTAGACCCCACATCACTTATAATATGTCTCATACACTTATTATCATATCCAAATTAATATCCATCATATTAATAGTCGTCTGCACACGAAATAATATAATTAGCACACTTCAACTTTCTTAATAGCGCTTAAGTACTTCGAAATTTTCTGGGGTGCTACAATGCAATCTTTTCGATCAGGAAATATCAGATATAACAAGTTAAGCTTATCTCCCTCACGTGCATCCCTTATGCTTTAATCTGCCCATATTTGTGTACACTGTAAATAGACCTGATTCATGCTTGAGTTTCTTTGTCAATCTTCAAAACCAACTTCACTTGGCCAACATCCTCCTTTCATTCTTTTAATGTCAACGTATAATTCATGTTCTTTTGACAAGTTAACAACAGAATTCAAAACTCGGAAGTCCTATCCATATATAATCCACCCCCAGACAGAAGTTTAAAGAAAAAGAATATTACCATAGTTAATTAGTTAAACTATCTTCCTGTATTTTTCTTTTCACTTCTTAATTAAATTTTCAAGTATTCACCTCTCACTATCTATTTTGTTTTGTAACAATTCATCTCATTTGTTGGCTTCCTGAAAACATTTTGTGGCACAACAAAAGAAGCCATATTGATAAAATACACTAAAGTTGCTACTCCCTCCGGTCCACAATAAGTGACTAATTTATTTTTTTATTTTGGTCCAAAATAAGTGTCCATTTATATAACCAAAAAACAATCCAATTTGTTTTTCCAAAATTATTCTCATGTACGTATCCCTAAAAAGTCGTTTTCTCTTCACATTAACTATGCTGCAATATTTAATTAAGGGTAGTTTAGTCATACTAACTATTTTTGTCTAGAATTTAGTATTTCCTTAATAGTGTGCTCAAAGCAAATTGGTCACTTATTGTGAATCGGATCGAATATTGAATATCGGAAAACAAAGAAGTAAATAACTAGCTACGGAAACCGGTAAAGAGAAAATAAACTCAGGCATACGACAGCTTATTTGATTTCCTAAGCAAAGTGATGTAATCATGCGGGCTGAACTTTGAAATATTTCCTTGACATCATTCACAGTACTTTGATCTCAAAATTTAAATTCCCATTATTATCATCTACTGCAGAGGAGAGATTCCTGGCATCTCTGCTGCTAAATCACTAATTCAGGTGTAAAACACTGAATTTTTCTTTTTCTTCTGACGGAATAATTATATACAAGCATAATGTGTATATTATTTTTATTTTATCAATTTATATAAGTTAAATCCCTAAAAAAAATTAAGCATAAATATTATCCACGTTTGACATGAGATTATTCTTATAATTAGAATAAAATGGAAGTGGCAAATAAAAGGAACAAGATTGGCCGAAACTAGATATTCTGATCTCATGTATAAGGTGGTCTCTATCTCCTTATAAGTACATAACATGTCATTTACCTCAAATTGCATTAATGAATCAACAACAACTAAGTAAAATAATACTACTTAATGTTCATACAAACGTCAAATGTCAACATCCCAAAAGGCGATGGTACTTCATGCGTTGGTGAAAGAACAAGTATTACCCAAAAAAGGTAAGAGCATAATTATTTCTCAGTGAAAGAGCATTTGTACTTTGGTATACTCAATATTGATTTTTGTTTTAGACGTTTATTCTTTGTCATGCAATAATATATGTTAATTACTTAAATGTTCATCCAACTTATGACAATAACATAGTAATAAAATTATTTTTTGAATTTTTTGTAGCAATAAAATTATCCAGCTTAACCAACATTGAAAAAAACTATTTCAGTCGAAAGATCAACTTTCAGTGTCAGAATGATTCACCCACTAAACCTTCAAGTTCTCAAATGATCATCCAACTTATGACAATAACATAGTAATAAAATTATTTTTTGAATTTTTTGTAGCAATAAAATTATCCAGCTTAACCAACATTGAAAAAAACTATTTCAGTCGAAAGATCAACTTTCAGTGTCAGAATGATTCACCCACTAAACCTTCAAGTTCTCAAATGATCATCCAACTTATGATATGTGAATAAACCTTGTGCCATGTTAATAATATTTACTCGATAAATATTTTCTTTCACCAAATAATATGTTTATTTTTTCATCGGTAAAATATTCTTTCATTACTCGAAAACTTATTCAATAATATTTACTTGATACTTTAATTTGAAGAACAAAGAAATAAAAAGAAAGTTGATGTAAAGAGATTTTTTACTTGATAAAAGACATTTTTTTCACCAAACAAGAAAACAGTTTTCCATAATAAAAGCATTATCTCTAATGTAGCAAATACCATTTTTCTTACTTATTTTGATTTGCCACGCAATTATATCGAGAGAAGGCTTCTGCAAAAGCTATCACCAATGCAAGATGTCTCTATCTCCTTAATAAAACCTACTCATGTTTCTTTCATTATATAAGTGTGCATGCAAACCTTCTTCTCCTCTCACTCAAAACCAGAAGTAAATTCTCATAAACTAAGTAGCAGTGAGCAAGCTGAAGATGAAGTATCTTCTTGAAATCACAGCTAACTTGACCCACATTGTCGAAATGACTCCTGAAGATGGAGTTGATGATCCAAACATGCCGTATTTCTTTCGGGTTAAATTTTACTGTAGATTGATCACTTTGTTCATAAGAATTAAGTAGAGCAAATATCCTTACTTTCTACTTCTTTCTTTTCGTTCCAGCTCAAATGTGAGAACTGTGACATTGTATCGAAAGAACAGTGTGTGTACCCCAGCGAAGTTGTGTACCATAAACGTAAGAGAGTAAACCACGTTATAAAGGTAAAACAAAATCGCATTTGTACTTCATTTTATCATTTCTTGGATCCACCTTTCTTTCTCATCTCTAATTAGTTTCTCACATTATTTAATTTAGTGCAAGGGGTGTAAAAGAGTAGGAACAGTTAAGTTGGTTCCTGGTTCTGAATCCGTATTTACTGCCGCAGCTGCAGCGGGAGGAATTTATATGCCTCTAATGATGTTTGAATGCGAGGGGCTGGTTCCCCAACAATACGCCTTCAATGGAGGCTGGAAGCTCACCACTGTAAGCTCCTCCAGTTTTATTATTATAGCTTCCCAGATTTCTAGTAGTGATTGTCCAGCTTTTAACAAATTTATTGTAGGATACCGGGGAGGATATCATGGTGAACTTAGTGAACGGCTACTTTGCGGGTAGCGAAGATGAATATGGTGATAATCAGCCTGTTGTGGCGAACGTCAGGGGAAGGTTTACACCTCAGTGAGAATGAGTACTGTGTTAATGTTTTAATTAAGTGGGTTTAGGAAATAAAACTTGCACTGTGCAAGTTATGTTTAGGCTTTCTTAGTGTGTGTAGTAGCAACTTTGTGTGGCTTTCTAAGTTGTGTGGTAGCAACTAATTTTAAGGTTCCTTGTGTCGGATTTATATTATATGTAATAACAACTTCTGTTGTGTGCTACAAAAGACCTCTCTTAGTTACATTGCCGTAAATTAATTAGATTGATTAATGATCACCAGAATACGTGCGTACATAACAGGGAGACTCGGAGATGAATGCTTTAAAATATGTTAAATGAAAGAAGAAAATATCACAAAGTTTGAATATGCAGTTATAAGTATTGTTAGAAATTGCCATTAGAGAGCTCTGCACACGTGAGGAAGAAGAAAAGGCAATTTGGGAAATTTTCCAACTGCTTTTATTGTACTAATTGAATTAGTTATATACAACTAATTGTGAAAGCTAAATAATAAAAGACCCCCCTAACTCCTAGTAATTACATTTGGATCCCAATTATAACTAACTCCTAATCGAACTTCTAATCCTCTAACTTCCAATACTCCGCCTCAAACTGGAGGGTGGAGGATGTTCAACACTCCTAGCTTGTTGAGTAGAAAACTATGATGCACAGATGAAAGCCCTTTGGTGAAGAGATCTGCCTGTTGGTCCTTTGTAGAAACATATTGTGTGACCAAGGTGACATCCTTGATACGTTCACGAACAAAATGACAATCTATCTTGATGTGTTTCGTACGTTCATGAAAAATAGGATTCGTAGCTATTTGCATTGTTGCTTTGTTGTCACAGAATAGTGTAACAGGCTTAAGGACATGTACTCCCAACTCTGAAAATAGCCCCAACAGCCACACTATTTCTGAGACTGCTGATGCCATGCTACGATATTCTGCTTCAGCACTGCTTCGTGAAACAGTGTGTTGTTTCTTAGACTTCCATGAAATTAATGAATCACCAAGTTTGACTGCATACCCACTAAAAGACCTTCGTGTCATTGAGCAAGTTACCCAGTCGGAATCACAAAAAACTGTTAATGTATCTATATTCCCTCGCTTCAATAGAACTCCCATTCCTGGTGTAGCCTTCAGATATCTCACTACTCTAACAGCAGCCTCCATGTGTGACTTCTTAGGTAGTTACATAAATTGACTCAAGGTCTGGATTGCATAGCTAATATCTGGTCGAGTAACTGTCAGGCAAAGCAATTTCCCTATCAGTTTTTGATACTTGTTTGCATCTGCCAAGGGATCTTTATCTTGTATCGCAATAGCTCTATCATATTCCATACTTGTAAGTTTTTGATTGATTTCAAGTGGTGTTAAAGCTGGCTTGGCACCACTTAAGCCCAATTTAGAAATCAGCTCCAAACTGTATTTCCTTTGATTAAGTAATATCCCATGATTAGAACTCAATACCTTAATCCCTAAGAAATACCTCAGTTTTCCTAGGTCCTTGAGTTTGAATTGCTGATGCAAAACTGCTTTAGCTTCATTAATTAGATCTTTATTGCTTCCAGTCAATAGCAAATCATAAACATAGATAAAGATGATAACAATATCCTTGCCTGACCTCTTAGTGAACATAGAATAGTCATGAGTTCTTTGTACAAAGCCTGCTCCCACCAATGCTTTTGTGAGTTTCAAATCCATTGCCTAGATGCTTGCCTGAGACCATATATGAACTTATTTAGCTTGCACACCTTCTGCTCCCCCTGCCTTTGAAAACCCTGTGGTAAATCCATATAGACTTCTTCAAACAAATCTCCTTGAAGAAAAGCATTAAAGACATCCATTTAGTACAGGGACCAATCCTTTGCAGCTGCAAGAGCTATCACAGACCTAATAGTTATCATCTTTGCAACTGGAGAAAATGTTTCATGATAGTCCAATCCCTCTTGTTGATTGTATCCTTTTACCACTAGTCGTGCCTTGAATCTTTCAACTTCTCCATTTACTTGGTACTTTATTTTGTACACCCACTTGGATCCAATGGGGGTTTTACCTGGTGGCAAGTCAACAACCTCCCAAGTCTTATTATCTTCTAGTACTTGTATCTCCTGCTTCATGGTTGTGATCCATCTCTCATCTTCTACAGCTTCCTTGAAGTTACAAGGCTCCTTCAAGACTGAGAAAATTGAAACATAGTTTCTATATTTTGGTGATATCTTCTCATAGGATAGGAAGTTTGAGATTGGATAATTGCATTGTGAGGGCTTCTGTGTCTGCAGCACATAGTCTCTTTGCCATATAGGTGGATTCTTTGCCCTTAGAGATTGTCTAGTTGGTGTTGGTGCATTAGAAACAGGTTGAATCCTGAGTGTGTCTTCCCCATGTTGAATATCTTCATTGACACCATCTTGAGTAAGTGAACCAGCAGTTGTATCTTCAACACTCTCCAGCACAACAGCATCATGATTTTCATTTGATACTGATGGTCCTTCTAGATCTTCTGATATTGATGTTTCAGTACTTACTCCAATACTGCCAACCTCTGCTGGTGAACTGGTACCTATGTCTGCAGGAAGAGGAACCTAAAATGAACCTGCTGATAGTCCATCTGGTTGACCCTCCACATCAATTGTCTCCAAGAAACTAGAACCAAAATCATTAGTTGTAAATGAGTTTTGTGTCATTTTCCTAAATGGAAACTCATTCTCCCTAAAGGATACATCCTTGCTAATGAAAAAAGTTCTAGTAGTTAAATCATATAATCTATAGCCTTTCTGTGTAGTTGAATACCCCATATGAACAGTCTGTCTAGTCCTTGCACCAAATTTATCATCTAGGGTCAAATTTGTGGCATAACATAAGCACCCAAAAACCCTTGAATGTGATATTGAGGGCTCTCTACCATACAACATTCCATAAGGGCTTTTACCATTTAGTATCCTGGTAGGCAGTCTATTAATCAAGTAAACAGCAGTTCGTACACATTCCCCCCAAAACATATCTGGAACATGACTTTGAAACTTCGATGCCCTGGCAGTATTCAGTATATGTCTATGTTTCCTTTCAGCTACTCCATTTTGCTGGGGTGTATACACACAACTACTTTGGTGAATGATTCCTTGAGATAGCAAGAATTTATTCCACTGTGTATTGAAAAACTCTTTACCATTGTCTGATCTCACAACCTTAACACAAGTATCAAATTGTGTCTTGACCATGGAAATGAATTGCTTCAAAAAAACAATAGTTTCACTTTTATACTGCATCAAGAAAATCCAAGTAGCTCTAGAGAAATCATCTACAACTGTAAGAAAATAATGTTTTCCATCATGAGTACTCTTATTATATGGTCCCCATACATCCATGTGAACTAAATCAAAAACTCTAGCACTCCTTTTCTCACTGTTAGGAAAGCTCAATCTAGACTGTTTATCTAGAGGGCAAACAGTACATTTATTCTGCATATTATCATCTACTTTATTATGCAAAAAAGGAACATGCTGCATTACAGGAACAGAAGCATGGCCCAATCTCTCATGCCACAAGTAAGCTGTTTCGGCACTTGAACCTTCTACATTCACATTTGCTGCTAAAAGTCTGATTCCTCTTCCTTTTATTAACCAATCGCCTTCACCCTGCCATTGTAAAGGTCCTGAAATACACACAGTGTGGGCAGAAATATGGCAGCACATTTTATATCTCTAGTTAGCTTGGACACTGACATTAGATTAAACTTAAAGTCAGGGACATGTCGTACATTCTATAGCTTATCAATATCTGACAAATATGAACTCCCCACATGTTCAATTTTTGTAGTGACACCATTTGGCAATATCACTTTATCTTGTATGTTGTCATCTACTCTTCTTACATCATTCATTAAATCTAAGGTAGATGAAATGTGATGTGTTGCTCCTGAGTCTACAATCCAATCATCATTCCTTTTGTTTGGGACATGGACACTAGAAGATAATGCAGTGATTATACCTGCAGTTGTTGCTTGATTCTGTACCTTCATGTCATTTGGTGGCGAGTCTCTCAATAGACCTAGAATCTGCTGATATTGTGCTTCTGTAAAGAAGTGATCTCCTCCTTTAGCTTGTGATGTGCCTGATGTTCCCTGTGAACTCTGAGCCATATTTCCTTCTTCATGATTCACAGAACCTTCCACATGATTTGCAGTATATTTTCCTCCTTCTGAAATCTTCAGGGTATCCTACTATTTTATAACAGTTTTCCTTTGTGTGTCCTCTCATATGACAATGTTCACACTGCAGAAATTGTTTCCTTCCACGAAATCCTTGACCTTTGCCTGCTTGCATGGCTAAGGGATCTGACTTGTGACCTAGAACTCCACCTCCTGTACATTGCTGACTCTCATCTTGTGTTATGAGTGCATATGCCTAATTAAGTGTGGGTTCAGTTGTCTTCATTAAAATTTGACTACGAGCTTGGTCATATGTGTAAGCACGTGATTTTTGCTTCACGAAAGTTACTCCAAAAAGAAAAGAAAATCAACAAAAAACATATGTCTTGTCATTGAGTGATTTGTATTTAATGTTAAAATGTGTGTTAGTTGTTATAAGTGTTAACCAATATGTGTGTAATTTTGTTTTAATTTAATTTTAATTTTTACAATTTATTTAGGAATTTTATTTTAAATTTTGTTAATCTAAAAGAAAAGTGAGGAAAATCTGATTGGGCCCCAAAGTGAGGCCCAAAACCAACCCAAGGATCCGGTCCAAACCAGGCCTGCCCA